TCATCGAAGATTACCGGGACATATTCAGGTAGAATTATTTTTCTTTACTGAATTTGATCTGTTTTATTCTTTGTTATCAACATACTTATTGTTTGCCCTTGAATGGATCTAGTGATATATTCAAGAATACGATTCACTGAGTCAGTTATGGACAAAGGAAAAGAATTATTGTATGATTCCATACAATAATACTTTCGGAACCCTTTTTCTAATGATCCTCTTTGTATAAGTTCAAACGTCCGAGCAGCAGTCTATGAGATTCCCTCCTGTTATTGCTCTTTATAAATGAGGTACCTGGCTGTTGATATGCTTCTACATTGGAGTTAATGTTCACTGAGTATTCCTTTTACTGTTTTCCAGCAGGATCAGATTAGTTAAAGAAACTATATCTGACCCAGCTTGTTCACGGTTTATCCAGTCGTGGCGGAATTATGTTTTTTTATTTTATATTTGATTTTTCTCGGGTGCTTTCAAAGAGGAAGAGCCCACATTTTTGTACATGTGTGTGGCTATGTGCTCTACAATACCTGAAAATATCACTGAGTTTGATTGCACAGGTTCGATTTTATTGTAGAAATAGAGATACAGGTGGAATCACCAAAAATGGGTGAGCTCTTTTTGGTTATGCCCAAAGATGCGAAAGATTGTGCGAAACTGAGTGACCTACAAGAAAATGTTTGCTAGAAAATAGTGCAGCAGGTGCAACAGATCGTGCGAGCAATTCGAGCAAAGAGGGAGGTTGTAATTTGCCTCTTTTCAAATAATCAGCGTTTTCAATTACACTTTTATGTAAAACGTTGACTGAATAAATTTTTTGAATACCATTCATATAAATGGTCTATTCTAGACAATATCTAAGTAGAATAGTTATCTGAACAATAAATCACTGCATTAGTCGGAAACGACTAAGAAAACGCGAAATTTATTGCATGCAGCTAAAGAAAACTAGAGAAAAACAATTTAAGCTGTATCTAGTCTATTCAAAATAACTTAAAAGATGAAAATTGAGAGAAGAGAGAAGCTTGTTTTTTCGTAAAAGCAAAATTGGTCAACCGTGTGTGATTCCACCACGCTGTTTTATTTTAGTAGACGATATTTGAGTCTAAACAAATTAGTGAGTGCATCAGACAGAGCATGAAAAACTCTTTCTAGAAAAGTAACTTGATCTTCTTCATTAAGTGTTACAAAACTAAAATGGAGCACAAATTTCGTAGCGGTATCACGCGTTCAAAATACCACGTTTACAAATCCAGATCATGCAGTCATCAGGACCCAGAAATTAATTTCTTTTATGTGAGAAATAAGATTATAGATACATCGACCAGGACATTAACGTACGTGACTAGATTGTTACGATTGTTACGAAGAGTCAACAGGCGAATAAAAATATATTTCTGTACAGCATGCAGCGGTCATTTATTTAATACTTCAAATTTATCTTAACGTTTCGACTCTTCATTGGATTATCTAAACATCAAATCTAAACGTTCTCTTTTGTTCTTTCTTTTGGCTTTGTTACATTCTAGCGTGTTTATTTTTTCTCAAAACCGCTTATAAAATTTTGCTTATTGAAAAAAAAAATTGTATAATAGGTTAGGTTAGGATTAACTTCCCAAATTATTTATAGTTGAAAAACAAAGAACACTGGTAGGCACACATTTTCGTAAAAAAAAACTTTCAACTGCTCTTTTGACATGGAGAAGCTGTGATCAAAATCGAAAATTTCATCTAGTCTGCTATATGTAGTGAAAGAATAGAAAAAAAAGGTATTTAAAAATTCGATAGGCACAGTTTTTTTACCTTATTTGCTGCTAGAAATGTAGAGCATACTGTTAAAGGTTGGACCCAAAATGCCTTATAGTTTGTCGTAAGATGTGATTTTAATACAAAAACGTAGTGAAAGATGTTTTTATTCAAAAACACAGTAAAAGAGAAATGTGCGATCTTTGTGCCAAAAGCTTCAGCTAATGTGGATATTTAATACACAAATTGATTCGTCATGAAAAGATCTTGAAATAAAGGCGCACTTATAAAATTAGGGATAGGCCGTGTAAGTGCAGGTAGCGTCACATTCATCGATAGATCGCGCGTTCCACACTGTTGTGTCCGTCTCATCGAGATCTATCGAATGATGCATCATACTTACACTTTTGCATTATACACGAAGGTTTTTCTCCACATAACCTTGTCAGCGTCACCCATACACGTACAGTATCCATAATGTATGTTCAAATCAAGCTGTATTAATGATACTATACCAGCCGAGATTTTTGCCTTAGCATGTTACGAAATACTCAGGAAAAAGAGCCGGTAATTCGTCTAGCGATCGTATTTGCTCAATGCCTGAAGTCTTTGCCGGTACTGGATCTTGTGGCTCGATTAAGTGTATAATTCTTCCCCAACCAAATCCAGCTGCACCAATAACGTTTAGTTGCGAGTCGTCCACCAAGAAACATTTCGTACGATCTTGAATATTAGCCTCGTCCATGGCTTTTTGAAACATTTTTGGCTGTGGTTTGCAAATCAACGTTTGTTGATTGTAATCACAAAATGTTATGCCTTCGAATAAATCTTCAACACCAAGAATTTTGAGCACACGCTTTGCATGTGTCACATAGGCGTTGGTAAGAATCCATCGACGGACTTTTCTTGTATCCATACGAAGTAAGAGCGCACGTAAGTGATCATCTCGCTTCAGGATTTGTTCGAGTGGTAGCGCGTCATCGACTTTGGCATTGTAATCCATCGGATCTACCTGATGGTGTCGCACCAGCCCTTCGAGCGCTAAGCCATAGTCTTTATAGTAGCGTTCGTGCAGTTGGCTCGCTTCCTCTGTGGTTACATCTTTGAGTTCGTTGATAAAATAAGCGTCGATCTTTTCGCCCATGAGATCGTGGATACGATGCGACTTCCCATAAAGACAGTTATCAAGATCGAAAAAGAAGACTGGTATGTTATCGACCATGGTTAGTGGAATATACGTGGACGATTGTCTCGTTAAATCGTTTGGCCTTTGATATGATGTTTGTGGACTTTTCTGATTGATTTTAACGGATAAAATCGACACTATTCTTGTGCGTTTCTATAGCAGAACAATAAAAAAGTCGTCATTAATGTGCATTATCACCGTCACAAAACAAAAAAATATATATTCACATGTCCTCACCTGTCATCAAAGGTAAACATAATTATAAAGTGATGATGAATGAATAACAAAAACAAAAGAAAGAACAAAAGAGAACGTTTAGATTTGATGTTTAGATAATCCAATGAAGAGTCGAAACGTTAAGATAAATTTGAAGTATTAAATAAATGACCGCTGCATGCTGTACAG